GGGTAGTACCAATAGTAATAGGCTCCTTGGATGCAATCCCAAAACAACTGGAGCACCACTTGAACACCATTGGCATTGACAAATTCGCTATTAGTCAATTGCAAAAGGCGGCCTTATTAGGAACTGCTTCCATCCTGTGACGATATCTGTAATACCATCAAACATCCTCATCTGCCTATCCCAGGTCCTGGGTAACGACTCGATAGGTAGACAAAATGCCAAATCCAGTCTGAACATCTGGCTGACTGTGCAATGATCAGTAATAATAATAATAATAAATAAACATTTTTTGTTATTTTGGGCAAGCGAGAGCAGCCGTGGAGGACCACAGGCCTGAAGGAAAAAGGTTCAGACTAGACATTCGAAAGAATCTTTTGATCGTGGATTTTTAAAAGAACTTCTTTAATTATTTAAGGAGATTGATTTCATTCTTGTGGATTTAATATCTTCACGTTTTATGATATTTTTACGCTGCCCAGAGTGACTTGACCGTGAGATGGGTGGCATATAAATTTAATAAATAATACATAATATTTTTTTTAACTGTCAGAAGCCCTCTGAGAGAGCCCGAACTTGGGAGGGGGTTGGACTAGCTGACCTCTAGAGTCTATCTCAAGCTGTATCCAATTATTGCGCAAATCCAGACAGTGGGTTAATTTAGGAATTTGCCACGTGGATCGGCAGCCTTCCCATTGCAAAATGAATATGCCTGACATTTAATACCTCGGGGTGTTTTTTTTCCAGAATATCTGTGCTTCTCTATGATATTATAGCAGAAGGTAAAAATCCCGAATAGGCCTCCTTTTTAATTTAATTACAGTCTTGACGATGTCTTCTATTTGCAACTCTTTTTGCCTGTTGTGATTCCGTGCCAGCCTGTGCTCCCAACAACTGAGTCTGAGGGATCTGAGGAGGAGGTGGAGGAGGCATTTGAAGGGCCATCAGGGGCAGAGGGAGGCTCGGATGAATTACAGGACCCACCGTTTGATGCAGAGCCTGGGCCCTCCAGTCGTGTTCCTGATGAAGCTCAGCTGTGTGAGGAGCATGAGTCAGACTCGGAGGACTCACACCTGATGGACTTGCTAATGGATGCTCGCACACGTCGTCAATTAGCGAGAGTAAATCAGCAGCAGTCAATACGGCAACTCCAGGGTAAAAGGAGAAGGCACTGAGAAGCAATGCCTTGGAACTGCTGTATAAAAAGAGGAGGTGTGGGTGGTGCTGGTTGCTGAAGGCAACCGTTTGGGAAGTGCTTTTTGGAATCCTGGTCTGTTTGTCTTGCTTGTGACTACTTTTCTGTTTGCATGGTGTTTCCTGTGGACTATTTCCTTCCTTTGGACTTGAGTTTTGCTGCTTGTGTTTTGGACTATTTGGCAGGTTTGTCACCCATATTAAAAGGGGTTTGTTTTGTTTTAAAGTCTGCAGCCTATTTTATCAACAGAGGTCTGGCCTTGTGCCTTTAATAAGGACGGCTATAGGCTGGGATAGAACATCGCCTGCTTGTATTTCCTAAATAAAACAAAGGCAGGCCTGCATTCCTTTAAATCCCAGTTTATTGCTTTGCAGCCATAAGTAAAAAAAATTCCTAGTAAATTCAGTTTATCAGCGCGTTGGCCTGAATGAGCTGCACTTCCCAGTTTTTACACTCCCCATGCACTTTTATGAGCAATCCAAATTACACAATGTACCGAATATCTAATATTCAGAGTCCCTTTGTGGATTTGTAAAAAAAAAAAAAGTGCTTCTCAACTCCCAGAATTCCCCAGCCGGCATTGCTCTCTTGTAATCCCTTCCTCTGCAATCTCTCCGCTTTAGGGGGAAAGGGAAAGAAGAAGAAACAAAAAACCAAAACCAAGCATGGCTGTCTGAGGAATTCTGGGGGTTGAAGTCCGTACAGTGTTAAGTGGCCAAGGTTGAGAGACCGCTGCGTCAAGAATGCAAAAATAAGTACTGCAGAGGTCAAGAATGCAAAAATAAGTACTGCAGATTTTTTTTAGCCTTATTTCCCTGGACTTCCTCCAAAGAGGACCCCCCCCAAATGACCTCGGGGTTGGTTGGATTGGTGGATTTTTCGCTTGCTGAAAAAAAAAATCAGAAATATCGCATGGCTTCTTCTGCCGAACGCAGAGAAGAGAGTAAGGCTGCCAGGTGAGGATTAAGTTTGGAAGCATGTTGTGCATTGCACCTGTTTTTTGTTTTTTTTTTTTTTTTTAAAAAAAACATAGAGTATTATTATATTATGGTATGGAGAAGATGGATAGATTATATTCAGAATATGGAACACAAAAGTTCCATTTATTTTATGATTAAAGTTTTATAACAAATATTTTATAAGAGATTTGTTTATACTATCATGATGTTAAAGTTTAAGGGGAGTTAAGGGTTAAGTATGACTTTGTTTATTATATAATATCTTTAAAGTTATGTTGATTTTGTTTATTTTGTTATTAATAACCCTGTATTCTGCTCTGGGAAGTGAGCGGGGGTGGGGGGGTTGGGAGTGGGTGGGTAAGTATGTTACATAATAGAATTAGATATAGATCAGTGTTTTTCAGCCTTGACCATTTTAAGGCATGTGGACTTCAACTCCCAGAATTCCACAGCCAGCGTTGCTGGCTGTGGAATTCTGGGAGTTGAAGTCCACATGCCTTAAAATGGTCAAGGTTGAGAAACACTGATATAGATAATTTATGAGAGAGGTGTTGCTTAGGCATTTCCCCGGTGCTGTATCCGAAGAGGGATGAGAGTGGAGGAGGAAGGGTAGGGAGGAAGTAGGATGGTAAGAGGAGAGGGGGAGGGGAGAAAGAGGAGGGAAGTAAGGGAGAGTGTTAGAGAGGGCGGATGCAGTTTGGGGGTGGGGTGGGCAAGCAACACCTATGGTTATGTGTATGAATTTATTTTATTTTGTTCAATGTGAATTTTTTATATTTATTGTAATTGATGAATGGAAAATAAAACTTTTAAATAAAAAAAAAAAACACATAGCGTTGGGGTCTCGTAGACCCTGTGCCTGGTGGGTTTTGTCCATCACCAACCAGGTCAACTTCCTTTGGGATTTTTTTTGTTTTTGTTTTGTTTTGTTTTTGACTTTGCGGCTTGCTGTGTCTTCAGCTCCGGGTATCAGTTTGAGAAATAGGAAGAACACACACGCACACGCACACACACACACACACGCACACGCACACGCACGGGTTGTGTAACACCAGAACTGGGGAATGACAGGAAGGGTTGTGTTGCAAGTTTGGGGGAAGCTGTTTTGCGTGGCCTCCCGTGTCCTGACTGCGTGGCTGGCAGTTTTGTGGGGGTCTTTTTCTTTGGCTGGGGGGGTGGTATGTGTTGGGGGGTTGAAGGTGATGCTAGGCTTGGCTAAGGAGGCGGTGGGGATCTGGGTGAAAGTCTCCCCAGGAAGAGAAATGAGGAGGAAGGGTGGTGGGGGGGAGGCAATCAGGCCCTGGCTGCAAAGTCTGGGAAGGGTTGAGGAGGAAGGGTTTCCTAAAATGATTCTTCCTCCTCCTCCTCCTCCTCTTCCTCCTCCTCCTCTTGTCCTTCTCTCCTTTTCCTTTTCATCTTCCTTCTCCTCCATGTCTCCTTCCTCTTCTCCATCACCATCATTCCTCCTCCTCCTCTCCTTCTCTCCTTTTCCTTTTCTTCTCCTCGTCTATCTCCTACTCCTTCCTTCTCCTTCCTCTCCTCCTCTTCTTCTTCCTCCTCTCCTTCTCTTCTTTTCCTTTTCACCTTCCATCTCCTCCCCTTCCTTCTCCTTCCTCTTCTCCTCCTCCTCCTCTTCCTCCTCTCCTCCTCTCCTTTTCCTTTTCTTCCTTCTTGTCTATCCGCTCCTCCTTCCTTCTCCTCCTGCTCCACCATCATTCCTCCTCCTGCTGCTGTCCTTCTCTCCTTTTCTTTTTCATCTTCCTTCTCCTCCTTCTCTATCTCCTCCTCCTTCCTTCTCCTTCTCCTCCTCCTCCACCATTATTCCTCCTCTTCCTCTCTCCTTTTCATCTTCCTTCTCCTCTCTCTATCTCCTCCTGCTTCCTTCTCCTTCCTCTCTTCCTCCTCCTCCTCCTCCTCGCCTTTTCCTTTTCACCTTCCTTCTCCTCCATGTCTATCTCTTCCTCCTTCCTTCTCCTTCCTCTCCTTCTCCTCCACCATCATTCCTCCTCCTCTCTCCTTTTCATCTTCCTTCTCCTTCCTCTCCTCCTCCTCCTCCTCCTCCTTCTCGCCTTTTCCTTTCACCTTCCTTCTCCTCCATGTCTATCTCCTCCTCCTTCCTTCTCCTTCCTCTCCTTCTCCTCCACCATCATTCCTCCTCCTTCCTTCTCCTTCCTCTCCTTCTCCTCCACCATCATTCCTCCTCCTCTCTCCTTTTCATCTTCCTTCTCCTTCCTCTCCTCCTCCTCCTCCTCCTCCTTCTCGCCTTTTCCTTTCACCTTCCTTCTCCTCCATGTCTATCTCCTCCTCCTTCCTTCTCCTTCCTCTCCTTCTCCTCCACCATCATTCCTCCTCCTCTCTCCTTTTCATCTTCCTTCTCCTTCCTCTCCTCCTCCTCCTCCTCCTTCTCGCCTTTTCCTTTCACCTTCCTTCTCCTCCATGTCTATCTCCTCCTTCCTTCTCCTTCCTCTCCTTCTCCTGCACCATCATTCCTCCTCCTCTCTCCTTTTCATCTTCCTTCTCCTTCCTCTCCTCCTCCTCGCCTTTTCCTTTTCACCTTCCATGTCTATCTTCTCCTTCCTCTTCTCCTCCTCCACTATCATTCCTCCTCCTCCTTCTCCTTTTCATCTTCCTTCTCCTCCTCTATCTCCTCCTCCTCCTCCTCCTCCTCCTCCTTCCTTCTCTTTCCTCCTCCTCCTCCCCCAGTTCTCCTCCATAGGGGGCCCCTGTGGCTGGCATTGCAGGGGACCCCAAGTCGGCGGGTGATGTTTGCTCTCCACGGAGCCCAGAAGGGAAACGAAGGGCACTCTGCCCTCACTCCGCCTCCCTCTCTCTTCTTGTCTCCTCTGCAGGATGAGGCCCCACCATGTCGTCCTGGTCGCTCTCTGCCTCCGGGCTCCCGGCCTGCTGCTCAGCACCTCCGGTGAGTGAGCCCCCCCCCTCCAGTGGTACTACCGGCCTAGAGTCACGTGTGCGAAATGGGAGGCTGTACAGCTTAACAACAGCTCATTTAGTGACCGTTTGAAACGACGGGGGGGGGGAAGGGACTGACGGCCATTTTTCACACTTACGACTGTTGCCGCGTTCCTGTGATCATGGGATCAAAATTCAGACGTGAGGCAACTGACTCATAGTTATGACGGTCGCAGAGTCTCCTGAGGTCCCGTGATCCACTTTTGCGACCTTCTGACAAGCAAAGTCAAGGGGGAAGTCAGATTCGCTTAACGACCGTGTGACTAGCTTTTTTTTTATTTATTTAAAAAGTTTTATTGAAAATTACAAAATAAACCCATTTACTCTCCCCCCCAACCTCCACCCCCCGACTTCCCAGAGCCAAATACAGGGTATTTCAAACATATTAAACATAATCTAATTAAGTTAACAAATATATTAATCATAAGCTAAACAAGTTTAACAACTTATACAACAATAAAATCATACTTAAACCTTAACTCCCTTTAAACCTTAATAACATATCATAAACAAATCAGTTTATAATCAATTGTTATATAATAAAAAAAAATTTAATTTAAATATTAATAATATTATTTAATCATAAAATAAATGGAACTTTTCAGTTCCATATTTAATCTTAATATAATCTATCCATCTTCTCCATACCATCTTTCTTGTGTATGATCCTTTAAATAAGCAGAAATTTTAGCCATTTCTGCTAAGTTAGAAACCTTAAATGTCCATTCTTCTATAGCAGGCAATGAATCCTTCTTCCAATATTGACCTATCAATAACTTTGCTGCTGTAATTTTGTTAAGTGACTAGCTTAACAACTGCAGCAGTTTGCTTAAAAACCGTGACATGAAAAGTCGTAAAATGGGGCAAAACTCACTCAGCGAATGTTTTACTTAGCAACCTAAATTTTGGGCTCAGTTACAGTCATACAGTCGAGGACTACCTCATTCAATTTTAATAATGATGATGATGATGGTGATGCTCCTGCAAGGGTAGGACCAAGAGCAATAGGGTGCAATCCCAAAATAACCAGAACACCACTTGGACACCATCCTTGGTTGTTAAGTTAAGCATTGCAGTCATTAAGTGAATCATGTGGTCGTTAAACGAATCCAGCTTCTCCCTTTTGACTTTGCTTGTTTGAAGCCAGCTGGGAAGCTCACAAAAGGTGATCACATGCTGGTGGCCAAGCGCCCACATTTAGCTCACATGGCCACGGGGAAAGCTGCCACAATCGTAAGTGTGAGGACTACGTGTTAGTCACTTTTCCCAGGACTCTCGTAATAGTCACTAAAGGGATGGTGTGTAGTTTTGTCGGTTGTGAGCCAGAAAGCGGAAAAATCAACCTGGTTTCCCACTTAGCGACTGCTTTGCTGATTTTGGTCGCTAAGCAAGGACTGCCTGTATTGAGAGGATGCTGCCTCTCACAATCTCTGCCCAAATTGCTCTTGATCCACTTTTTCATCCTGGGAAAAGCTTTGGAGGTTGCGGAGAAGAAATCTGTCAGAGAGTGATGGATAAAATCAAGATCACGCAAAGTTTTAGTACCGCTTTATAAAACCCCAGTGAGGCCACACCTGGAATACTGCAGCCAGTTTGGGTCACCATGTCACAAAAAAAGATGTTGAGAGTTTGGAAAAAGGGCAGAGAAGAGCAACTAAGATGATCCAAGGCCTGGAGGCTAAAACATACGAAGAAGGGCTGCGGGACTTGGGTTTGGCTGGTCTAAAGAAAAGAAGAAATGGGGGAGAACATGATAGCAGAGTTCCAGTATTTGAGGGGCTGCCACAAAGAAGAGGGAGTCAAGCTATTCTCCAAAGCAAGAGAAACAATGGAGGGAAACTGACCAAAGAGAGAAGCAACCTGGAATTAAGGAGAAACTTCCTGACAGTGAGGACAATCAACCAGTGGAACAGCTTGCCACTAGAAATCATGGTGGGCGCTCCATCACTGGAGATTTTTAAAAAGAGACTGGACATTCACCTGTCTGAGATGGTATAGGTTCTCCTCCTTGAGCAGAGGGCTGGGCTAAAAGCCTTCAAGGTCCCTTCCGGCTCCTATTCTATTCTATTCTATTCTATTCTATTCTATTCTATTCTATTCTATTCTATTCTATTCTATTCTAATCCTTTTTTCTATTCCTATTCCTATTCTATTCTATTCTATTCTAATCCTTTTTTCTATTCCTATTCCTATTCCTATTCTATTCTATTCTATTCTATTCTATTCATTTTCATATTCTATTCTATTCCATTCCACTCCATATTTATTCTCTTCTGTTCTGTTCCGTTCTGTTCTGTTCCATTCCATTCCATTCTATTCTATTCCTTTTCTCTATTCTATTATGTTCCATTCCATTCCATTCCATTCCATTCTATTCTATTCATTCCATATTCTATTCTGTTCTGTTCTGTTCTACTTCTAGTCTATTCTAGTTCCTTTATCTGCAGGGGGACCACAAGGTCTTCATCCCAATTTTGATTAAAGCTACTTTTCTGGAAAAGCTGTCCCTGCCAATGACGGTCTTCTTTCTTGCTCAAAACTGCCTCTCTGCTTCCAGGAACTTCTGCATCTGCCGCAGTGAGCAAACCGAGCATCCTGTTTCACACGGGTGTCATGGCAACTCACACAGCATAACAGAGTCACAGAGCTGGAAGGGAGGTCTTTTAGTCCAGCCCCCTTGCTTGAGCAGGAGATCTGAGACCAGTCTCTTCTTGAAAACCTCCAGTGATGGAGCCTCCACAACTTCTGGAGGCAACTTCCGTTCCACTGGTTCAGGGTGGGCAACCTTGGCTCTTTTATGACTCGTGGACTTCAACTCCCAGAATTCCTGAGCCAGCCATGCTGAGGGGAAAGGGAGAGGTTTCCAAGCTGAGCCATGCTGGCTGAGGAATTCTGGGAGTTGAAGTCCACCAGTCATGAAGGAGCCATAGTTCCCTCATGCTGGCTCAGGAATTCTGGGAGTTGAAGTCCATGAGTCATGAGGGGGCCATAGTTCCCTCATGCTGGCTCAGGAATTCTGGGAGTTGAAGTCCACAAGTCCTGAGGGGGCCATAGTTCCCCCATGCTGGCTGAGGAATTCTGGGAGTTATAGTCTGCGAGTCATGAGGGGGCCATAGTTCCCCCATGCTGGCTGAGGAATTCTGGGAGTTGAAGTCCATCAGTCATGAAGGGGCCATAGTTCCCCCATGCTGGCTCAGGAATTCTGGGAAAGTCAAGAGGGGGCCATAGTTCCCCCATGCTGGCTGAGGAATTCTGGGAGTTGAAGTCCGCAAGTCATAAAAAAGCCCAGGTCGCCTACCCCTGCACTGGTTGATTGCTCTCACTGTCAGGAAATTCCTCCTTAGTTCCAAGTGGCTTCTCTCCTTGATGAGTTTCCACCCGTTGTTTCTTGTCGTCTGGTGCTTTGGAGAATAGGTGGACCCACTCTTCTTTGTGGCAACCCCTCAGATATTGGAAGACTACTATCATGTCATCCCCAGTCCTTCTTTTCACGAGAATATAGAATAACAGAGTTGGAAGGGACCTTGGAGGTCATCTAGTCCAACCCCCTGCTCAGGCAGGAAACCCTGGACCATTTCAGACAAATGGCTGTCCAGTCCCTTCTTAAAAGAGACTGTGATGGAGCAACTGAAGGCAACTTCCGTTCCACTGGTTAATTGTTCTCATTCTCAGGAATTTTTTTCTTCGTTCCAGGTTGCTTCTCTCCTTGGTTAGTTTCTTGTCTCCCCTTCTGGTGTTTTGGAAAATAAATTAACCCCCCTCTTCTCTATGACAGCCCCCACCCCAAATATTAGAAGGCTGCTATCATGTCCCTCCTGGTCCTTCTTTTCATTAAACTAGACAGACCCAATTCTGTATGTTTTAGCCTCCAGTTCCCTAATCATCTCAGTTGCTTTATGATAGTCTTGGGAAACGTCAAACCGTGCCAGCTGGGGTATTCTGGGAGTTGAAGCCCACCCCTCTTTAAAGTTGCTGAGGCAGAGAAACAGGGATTTGAACCGTTGCCCAGGATACAATGCAAGGAAGACATGTTCCTGAAACGACTGGAAGCTGCGAGGAAATTTAATTTATCTAATTGGAAAATGGTCAGGAATCTCTCTAGCATTACAGTAGATTTTGGCTCCCGAAGAGAACTTTTCTTTGAAGCTGATAGAGAGGAGATTAAAAAGGGGGAAGCAAAAAACTGATAAAGAGGAGATTAAAGGGGAAATGGAAAGATATATGGATACCATCGTGCCTGGAGAATTGTCAAAAAGGTTGCTGTGGAATCCAGGAGCACAGAAGGACAATTAGCGAGAGCTGTCGTTAAGGGGGAACAGAAGGCTGGCTTTTGGGAAATGGGAGGGTTGCCCAAAGGGGCCGGGCCAAGAGAACCCATCTTGCACTCCTCTTAATGTAGCTTGCAGCTCAGAGGGAAGGACGAGCAAAAGGGGCTCCATTTGCTCGCCGCCAGCTGAGATGTACGGATATTGTAGTTCAAATTTCATTTGACTCCACATGATTTAACGGACAGGAATAGAATAGAATAGAAAGGAATGGAATGGAATAGAATAGAATAGAATAGAATGGAATAGAATAGAATAGAATAGAATAGAATAGAATAGAATAGAATAGAATAGAATAGAAAATAGAATATAGAATAGAATATATTAGAATAGAATGTGGAATGTAGAATATAGAATAGAATAGAGTAAAATAGAGTAGAAAATAGAATATAGAATAGAATGTAGAATAGAATAGAATAGAATAGAATCAGAGTTGGTAGGGACGTTGGAGGTCATCTAGTCCAACCCCTGCTCAGGCAGGAAACCCTACACCATTTCGGACAAATGGCTGTCCAGTCTCTTCTTAAAACCTTCCAGTGTTGGAGCATTCACCGCTTCTGGAGGCAGGTGGTTCCACTGGTTAATTGTTCTAACTTTCAGGAAGTTTCTCCTTAGTTCCAGGTTGCTTCTCTCCTTGATGAGTCTCCATCCGTTGCTTCTGCCTTCAGGTGTTTTGGGGAATAGCTCGACTCCCTCTTCTTTTAGGGAGTCATTGAGGCCACCTGGACACAGGCAAACTTCCAAGTGGCCTCAAGGACTCTCTAAAAGAAGGCGAAGGACCAGCTGTCTACAAAGAGTATAAATCCTTCCATTTCCTCACCATCCAGTCAGAGCTGAAGAAGCTCCTGGGAGGAGAAGCGAAACGTCTTCAAAGAAAGAACAAGAAAGTCCAGTTGCCTGTCCTTTGGGATAACTATGACCTGGATGACAGAGAATCTCCATAGACAGAAGGAAGGAGAGATAGGAAACAAAGAAGGGATGGATGAAGGGAAGGAAAGGAAAGGAAAGGAAAGGAAAGGAAAGGAAAGGGAAGGGAAGGGAAGGGAAGGAAGGAAGGGAGGGAGGGAGGAAGGAAGGAAGGTCCAGTTGCCTCATGAAGAAGCATCTTTGGGATAACTATGACCTGAATGACGGAAAATCTCCATAGACAGAAGGAATGAAGGAGAGATAGGAAACAAGGCATGGAAGAAGGAAAGGAAGGAAGGAAGGTAGGTAGGAAGGAAGGAAGGAAGGAAGGAAGGAAGGAAGGAAGGAAGGAAGGAGAAGGAAAAAGGGAACGAGAGAGGGAGGAATGGAGGGAGGGAGGGAGGGAGGGAGGGAGGGAGGAAGGTCCAGTTGCCTCATGAAGAAGCATCTTTGGGATAACTATGATCTGGGTGACGGAGAATCTCCATAGACAATTTTCCACAAATGGACTTCAGTTCCCATAATGCCCCAGCCTGCAGGATCTTTGTGAGAATTCTGGGGATGGATCGGCCTCTCTGGAACCAGGAAGGAGCAGGGGTCTGAAGCAAATGACCTGCATCTAATCCTCTTTTTTTCGGGGCTGGGGGGGCGCTCTTTCAGAGCGCTGCGACGACTGGGGGGTCGACACCATGAAGCACAAGCCGGTCTACAGCGGGGAGCCGGCCAAGATCAAGTGCCCGCTCTTTGTGGCTTTTGTGAAGCACAACTACAGCACGGCCCACGCGGCCGGCCTGACCCTCATCTGGTACCGGATCGGGCTGGGCCAGGACCTGGAGGAGCCCATCAACTTCCGCCACCCCGACAACCACATCAGCAAGGAGAAGGACATGCTGTGGTTCCGCCCGGCGCTGCTGAACGACACGGGGAACTACACCTGCATGCTCAGGTACGCTGGACGAGCCTCCCCTCTCGGGCTTGCTGGGGGGCAGGGGGCGGGGGGGGCTGCTCCCCACAGTGGCTTCGAGGCAGTTGCTCAGTAAAGGAGAATAGTTGCGGCTCAAGGTGGAAATGGGGGGTCCTTGGGTGGCTTTCTAGTTTCATGACCCCAACATCATCATCAGTGTTATGAGGAGGTGGGTTTCCAAGGGGGGGAGGGAGGAAGGAGGGAGGGGGAAGACTGGGGGATCCTTGGGGCTCTCTGAGCTGGGTGGTTTTCTTGCAGACGTTTCATGACCCAACTAGGGAACATCATCAGTGCTAGAAGGTGTGGAGTTTATGAGGAGGAGGAGGAGGAGGAGAAGGGGGAGGACTGTGGGGTCCTTGGTGCTCTCTCAGCTTGGTGGCTTTCTAGTTTCATGACCCCCAACATCATCATCAGTGTTATGAGGAAGTGAGTTTCCAAGGGAGGGAGGGAGGGAGGAGGAGGAGGAGGAAGAGGGGGAGGACTATTGGGGGTCCTCTCTGAGCTGGGTGGTTTTCTTGCAGACGTTTCTTGACCCAGCTAAGGAACATCATCAGTGCTAGAAGGGAGGAGGATTCATGGAGAGGAGGAGGAGGAGAACTGTGGGATCCTTGGTGCTCTCTGAGCTGGATGGTTTTCTTGCAGATGTTTCATGACCTAACTAGGGAACATTATCAGTGCTAGAGGGGTGTGCAGAAAGGAGGAGGAGGAGGAGAAGAGAAAGAAAGAAAGAGAAAGAAAAAGAAAGAAAAGGAAAGAGAAAGAAAGAAAGAAAGAAAGAAAGAAAGAAAGAAAGAAAGAAAGAAAGAAAAAAAAAGGATTGTGGGGTCCTTGGTGCTCTCTGAGCTGGGTGGTTTTCTTGCAGACGTTTCATGACCCAACTAGGTAACATCATCAGTGTTATGAGGAAGTAGGTTTCCAAGTGGGGGGGGAGAAGGAAGAGGAGGGGGGAGGAGGAGAGTTGTGGGGTTCTGTGTGCTGTCTGAACTTGGCTATTTTCTTGCAGACATTTCATGACCCAGCTAGGGAACACCATCAGTGCTAGAAGGGAGAAAGATTTGAAGCAAGGAGGAGGAGGAGGAGGAGGACGACGACTGTGGGGTCCTTGGTGCTCTCTGAGCTGGGTGGGTTTTATAAGCAGAAACAACGCAAAGGGGAGTCAAACCGGATTAGAAAGGGAGCAAGATGGGTGATGGCCAGAGTCTCCAACACAGCCGAGAGAAGGGGAAATTCAAGACAGGAATAAGGCCAGGGACTGAACCGATGCGAGGAAACAGCTGGAAGGAATATTTATATGGAAATGAATTGTCAAAGAGTGGAACTGAAATGAACGCAATAAATTTGAGTGCCCAGGGGGAAAAAAAAAACATTGATTAAAAGAAGTCATAAAAGCGACGAGAAGATTGAAAAAAAAATACTGCAAGTTAGATGGTGGAATTGGGGTAAATAATAAAATGGGGAGGTGGGTGGTTTATTGGGAGGGGATGTTTGATTTATTTAAGGTTGTGCCCGTGCCACCACAATGGGAAACATTCTAGGTGTAACATTCCTCGGTTGGAACGATGGGAAATTTGGGATTTGATTGCAGAGGGCAACAAGTCTAGAGAAGAAGCGGTGTGTGTGTGTGTGTGTGTGTGTGTGTGTGTGTGTGTGTGTGTAAGCAGACCTGAAAATGAACTGCCAATGATTTGACACCAAGCAGGCAATAAAATTATTCACAAAATAACAGAGTTGGAAGGGACCTTAGAGGTCATCTAGTCTAACCCCCTGCTTAAGCAGGAGACCCTATTCCACTGTGGACAAATAGTTGTCCAGTATCTTCTTGAAAACCACCAGTGATGAAGCACCCACAATTTCTGGAGGCAAGCAGTTCCACTGGTTCATTGTCCTCCCTGTCAGGAAGTTAGTTCCAGGTTGGATCCCCCTCTGATTTAACCCCTAGAATTCCCCAGCCAGCCTGCTTTAAGATGGCTGAATCCTGTGGGCTAGAAGGGACCTTGGAGGTCTTCTAGTCCAACCCCCTGCTCAAGCAGGAGACTGTATTCCATCCCAGTCAAATGGCTGTCCAGTCTCTTCTTAAAAGCCTCCAGGGATGGAGCGCCCACGATTTCTGGTGGCAAGCACTGATGAATTGTTCTTGACTCCATTTTGGCTTGAAGAATAGAATAACGGAGTTGGAAGGGACCTTGGAGGTCATCTAGTCCAACCCCCTGCTCCGGCAGGAGACCTTACATATCAGTGATGGGGAACCTTTTAGAGACCGAGTGCCCAAACTGTAACCCAAAACCCACTTATGCATCATCGAGTGCCAGGTGGGTGTGGCCCAGTGGGTGGGCGTGGCCCATTGGGTGGGTGTGGTTGCAGTGGTAACAGCAGATTGGGTGGGGCTAAAAAGTTCAATCAATCAATTTCAACTTTGCAAGATCTTTTTTTTTCCGTGAGAAGTTGAAATTGACTGATTGAACCTTCTTTTTTTTTTTTTTTTTTGCACATGGCGGCGGAGGCCTAAAGGAAAAAGGTTTTATAAAACCCAGCTGAAGGCCTAGGACTGGGGCGACGGCGCGCGTGCCCACAGAGAGGGCTCTGAGTGCCACCTCTGGCACCCGTGCCATAGGTTCGCCACCACTGTTATATACCATCCTAGTCGGATGACTTTTATTTTTATTATTTATTTATTTTCAATATTTATATGCCGCCCAATCCCAAAGGACTTTCTTTAAAAAAAAAAAAACCTCCAGTGTTGGAGCACCCACAACTTCTGGAGGCAAGGAGTTCCACTGGTTAATTGTTCTTCACTGTTAGGAAATTCTTCCTTAGTTCCAAGTTGCTTCTCTCCTTCTTTCCATCCGTGGCTTCTCATCCTGCCCTTCAGGAGCTTTGGAAAATAAATTGATACCCCCCCCCCTCTTCTTTGTGGCAGCCACTTGAAATATTGGAAGGCTGCTATGCTGTCCCCCCCCCATCCTTCTTTTCATTAAACTAGAGATTAAAGTAGACCCAATTCCTGCAACCGTTCTTTATAACCGTTCAAGGCTGTGTGATGTCCCCTTTTTTTGGATAAAATGTAAGAGGAATGCTTGTGAATGGGTTATTATTTACCGTAAATGCCGGCGTACAAGGCAACCCAGCGTATAAGACGACCCGTCTTTATAGCCGGGCCGCATTCCTAGAATGTCATCTTATACACCGGACACTACCAGTATTTCCAGCGTATAAGACGACTCGGCGTATAAGACGACCCCCGTCTTTGGCACCGATTTCAGCGCGCGTGGAAGTCGCCTTATACGCCGGCATTTACGGTATGTATTTATTTGTTCATTCATTCATTCAGTTTGTAAGCCATCCATCCCCTGCCGTGAGGGATATTGGGAGGCTTATAGTGTAATCCAGGAAGTCCTCTACTTACGACAGTTTGTTTAGTGACTCTTTGAAGTCACAACAGCATTGAAAAAAGGGAAGTTGTTCCCCCCCCATTGACTGTGCGTCAGAAGGTCGCCAAAGGGGATTACGTGACTCCAGGCCGCTGACGCCATCTTAAATTAGACGCCAATTTTGCTAAGCATGTGAATTTTTGATCGGGTGACCGCAGGAGCGCTGTGGCGGTCGTAAGAGCGAGGACTGGCCGTAAATCACTTCTGCCGTGACTTTGAAACGGGCACTGAACGAATTTGCCGTACGTTGAGGAGCACCTGTCGTGCGGAAGGAGAGAAAGGGAGCGAGGAGTGCCGGTTGAAATTTAAATCCGTTCCTTGGTTCGTTTTCTTCGTTCCTGCGTGAAATTTTGTGGACTTCCTATTTCCCATCCTTTTCTCTCGCCCGCTAGAAGGGGGGTTCACTTCGAAAGGGATTAATGTGCGTTGATGTGTGGGTGTGTGTTTGTCAGTCTACCTCCCTCTGGAGGTTGCATCTTGTAAACCCCTTTCTGCTCGTTTCCCTCGGCGGGATCTTGTGGCCTGGAGTTCCGCAGGCTTCCCAGGGTGCTATTTTTCAGTCTTCCACTTGGCCTGGAACTGTTTACCATCGTGTCCCTTTGGCCTTTGGGGTGGTCTTCCCTTTTGCTCGCAGGAACGCCAGCTACTGCAGCAAAATTGCCGTCCCCCTGGAGGTGGTCAGCAAGGACCCCGGCTCCTGCCTCAGCGAAGCGGTCAAGCCAGAAACGGTGCTCATGTACTTCGACGCGGTCAAGCAGAACCTCACCTGCCCGGAGGTGGAGAGCTTTCTTCCAGCTGGCATTGAGCCCCAGGTCCGGTGGTACAAGGTGAGTGGAGAGGAATCCGGTGATCTCCCTTGGCATGGGAGGAGACCACACCCCCTCGGCCACCTGGGGGGCAGCGTTTGCAAGATGGAGGCAGAGATGGGAAGGGCTGGGGGAAAAACCCTGGAAAAATTGGGGGAAAATACAGGTATTTTTCCCATTTTTTTTTTTCCAAACGGCTTTGGAAAGCTGTAAAGATGGGAAGGGCTGGGGGGAAAAAACCTGGAAAAATGGGGGGGGGGGGAACAGGTATTTTTCCCATTTTTTTTTTCAAACAGCTTTGGAAAACTGTAGAGATGGGAAGGGCTGGGAAAAGAATGGAAAAATTGGGGGAAAAAACAGATATTTTTCCCATTTTTTTTTTCCAAACAGCTTTGGAAAGCTGTAGAGATGGGAAGGGCTGGGGGAAAAAAACCTGGAAAAATTGGGGGGGGGGAAACAGGTATTTTTCCCATTTTTTTTTCCAAACAGCTTTGGAAAGCTGTAGAGATGGGAAGGGCTGGGGGGAAAAAACCTGGAAAAATTGGGGGGAGGGGGGAAACAGGTATTTTTCCCATTTTTGTTTTCAAACAGCTTTGGAAAGCTGTAGAGATGGGAAGGGCTGGGAAAAAAAAAACTGGAAAAATTGGGGGAAAATACAGGTATTTTTCCCATTTTTTTTTTCCAAACAGCTTTGGAAAGCTGTAGAGATGGGAAGGGCTGGGAAAAGAATGGAAAAATTGGGGGAAAAAACAGATATTTTTCCCATTTTTTTTTTCCAAACAGCTTTGGAAAGCTGTAGAGATGGGAAGGACTGGGAAAAAAACTCTGGAAAAATTGGGGGGGAAAACAAGTATTTTTCCCATGTTTTTTCCAAACAGTTTTGAGGGAAAAAAGGGGGTGGAAGCTGTTTTTTTCCCCAATTTTCTGGTTTTTTTTTTCCATGCCTGCCCCGCGGTCTCCAGTGGGGTGAGGGTTCCTGGGTGGGTTGGGGTCTGCATGGAGGGCTTCCCAATTTTCCCCCCTTCATTTATCACAAATTGCTTATCAGAAAGTTTTAATAAACTGCAAGGACCAGTCGTAAGTCTTTACGTTTGGCAGGGGCGTAATAGGGAACCCATGGGACAGTCCTTGACTTACAACTGCTCGTTTAGTGTCCGTTCGGAGTTACAATTTCACTGAAAAGGGGACATGACCGTTTTTCAGATTAACGACTTTTGCAGCGTCCCCGTGGTCACGTGATCAAAATTCGGACGTTTTGCAACTGGCGTGTACTTACGACGGTTGCAACATCCCAGGGTCACGTGATCCCTTTTTGCGACCTCTTGACAAGCAAAGTCAATGGGGAATCCGGATTCACTATACTCCATCACTGGAAGTTTTTAAGAAGAGATTGGACAGCCATTTGTCTGAAATGGCGTATGGGGTTGGACTAGATGACCTCGGAGGTCCGTTCCAGCTCTGTTATTGTGTGGTGTTCACTAACTTAACACCTGCAGTGATTCACTTAACTGTGGCAAGCAGACTCGTAAAATGGGACGAAACTCGGGCCAGCTTTAAGTCAATTTAAACATTCCTCTTGGGATGCATTTTTGTTTTGTTCGCCAAAGGAAAAACACTTTTGCTCAATTTGGGGTAATTTCCCCAGATTTGATGAGTTTCCATCCGTTGCTTCTTGTCTTGCCTTCAGGAGCTTTGGAGAGTAGCTTGACTGCCTCTTCTTTGGGGAAGCCCCTGAGATACTGGAAGACTGCTATCATGTCCCCCCCCCTCGTCCTTCTCTTCGTTAAACTAGACATACTCAATTCCAGCAACTGTTCCTTGTATGTTTTAGCCTCCAGTCCCCTGATCATCTTTGTTGCTCTTCTCTGCACTCTTTCTAGAGTCTCGACATCTTTTTTACATTGTGGGGACCAAAACAGGATGCCGTATTCCAAGTGTGGCCTTACCAAGGCCTTGTAAAGTGGTATTAACGCTTCACGTGATCTTGATTATATCCCTCTGTAAATGCAGCCCAGCACTGTGTTGGCTTTTTTGGCAGCTGCAGCATACTGCTGGCTCCTATTTAAGGGATTGTCCACTAGGACTCCGACATCCTTTTCACAGTTGCTACTATTGAGCAAGGTACCCCCTATACTATACCTGTACATTTGTTTTTTCTTGCCTAAATGTAAACCCTTACTTGTTTTAATTCAGGGGTCTTCAAACTTGGCCCTTTTATGACTTGTGGACTTCAACTCCCAGAATTCCTCAGCCAGCCATGCCTGGGCTGTTGTTTTTTTCCTCCTACTAAAGCGGAGAGATTGCAGAGGAAGGGATTATAAGAGAGTAAACTAATGCTTGGTGGTGGATTCTGGGAATTGAACTCCACAAGTCATAAAAGGGCCAAGTTTGAAGACCCCTGTTTCAATTCTAAGTGCTGGAGACTTTTGTAAGCCTTCGGGGGTCCTCTGAGCCATCTCAGGTCTGGTGCGGGTGGGGGGCTCAGTGCTCATCCAATGCTCACTTTCTGTTAACTGAAGGTCACTTCCTGCCTCTGACACCCCCCCACACACACACACACTTCATTTCCACCAGTTGCAGAGGTGAGACCTGGTCCCTGTCAGAGGTTGCCGATTCTACTGATTGATTGACAGACTTGCTGGGCTTAAATGCCACCACGGTCATGCCTGGCTCTGCAGCAATTAGTCCAAAAGGGTAATAAGATTAGAAAGCGAGGCATCCAGCTGTCACCGTGATGTTTCCCAGGGTGGATGGACATTTAAACTTCAGAGAGAGGCTCAAACAATCCTTGAGCTGCCTAAAACAGCTGTTTTGGGGCAGGGGGCCTGGATGACCAGCCTGGGGGTCCCTTCGCGATCTCGGGTCCACAGAAGGGGGGGGGGAAATGATAGAGAAAGCCGAGGATATGTAGTCCTTGACTTAATGACTATTTATTTAGCAATCGTTCAAAGTTACAACAGCACTGGGGAAAAAATAAAAGGACGTAAGAGCAGTCCTGGGACTTAGGACCGTCAAAATAACCCCTAAAAGTATGTTTTCAAAATTGGGGCATTTGGGAAAACTGGAAGGTGTTGACGATGGTTGCAGCATCAGATGAGCTCCACCAGTGGCTTTCCTAGCTGGTTTTCCGACAAGCCAAGTCAATGAGGGCAGAGGGGTTCACTTCAGGATCCCATAGATCAGCGGTTCTCAACCTGTGGGTCGGGACCCCATTTGGGGTTGAACGACCATTTCACGGGGGTCGCCAAACAACGCAGTCTGCCATTTTTTCCCCCCTTTTCCTTAGCTGTGCTCCTCCCTTTTATTCTATTGGCTTTTGAAAGCCAATAGAATAGACTCTCTTGAATAGAGACTAATTCTATTGGCTTTCCAAAGCCAATAGGAATTGTCCAGGCTGTCTCTGCCCTGCTGGGCCTGTCAAAAGTCCCCTTCTGCAAACGGTGCTGCCCCAGTTGAGTAGTCCTTGACTTACAACCGGTTAAGTAGTCCTCGACTTAGGACCAGTTGGGGGTCTCGGCATTAAAAACGTTGAGAACCACTGCCATAGATTGTGAGAGGGACCTTGGAGTCCTGGTGGATGATCACTTGACCGTGAGCCAGCTGTGTGCAGCAGCAGCCAAAAAAACTAAAACAATCCTAGGTTGCATAAACATAGCCATAGAATCAAGATCATGCGAAGTATTAGTACCGCTTTATAAAGCCCCAGTAAGGCCACACCTGGAATACTGCAGCCAGTTTTGGTCACCGTATCACAAAAAAGATGTTGAGAGTTTGGAAAAAATTCAGAGAAGAGCAACTAAGTTTTTCACACTTACGACCATTGCAGCCTCCCCCGCGGTCACAGGATCAAAAGTCAGGTGCTTGGCATCTGGTTCGTATTTACGACGGTCACATTGTGTCCCGGAGGGGGGGTGTCACGTGATCCCTTTTTGCGACCTTGTGGCGAGCTATTTAAGGACCCTGGGACTAACTTAACCGCTGCAGTGATTCATTTAAGGTCGTAAAACGGGGCAAAATTCACTTGAGGGATGTCTGGCTTAGCAAAGAGACATTTTAAGCTGGGTTGTGGCCGTACGTTGGGGGACTAACTGTATTCCTCCCACCGGTGCTCAGCCAGACTTTGTTAGGTGGGTCGGTGTGGAAAGCTGTTTATCTTTGGATCCATCCCTACTTTCGTCCCAGGAGACTCGTTAGGCTGAAGGGCATCGTCCATTAAAATTCAAATCTCCACCGTCTATTAGCTAAATCCCCGCTGGAAATAAATTTCCAGATGACAGCTCATTTATCCCGCTAATAAAACTCTATCAGGAGTGGCGTAAAGCCTCTTTCTCCAAGGGCCCCCCAGAGACTGAGGAGGATGTGAGGGGCAACGCTAGGTGGAGAGCATCAAGGACAGCATCGATCTAAGGGGCTGCCCCAGAGAAAGGAGGTGTGTGTGGGGGGTCCGCCTATTGTCCAAAGCAACTCAAGGCAGGATGAGAAGCAATGGATGGAAACTCATCAAGGAGAGAAGCAACCTAGAACTAAGGAGAAACTTCCTGACAGGGAGGACAATTAACCAGTGGAACTGCTTGCCACCAGAAGTTGTGGGTACTCTGACACTGGAGGTTTTCAAGAAGAGACTGGACAACCACTTGTTTGGAGTGGTCTGGGGCAGGGCTAGGCAACCTTGGCTCTTTTATGACTCGTGGACTTCAACTCCCAGAATTCCTGAGCCAGCATGAGGGAACTATGGCCCCTTTATGACTCGTGGACTTCAACTCCCAGAATTCCTGAGCCAGCCATACTGAGGGGAAAGGGAGAGGTTTCCAAGTTGAGCCAGGTTGGCTGAGGAATTCTGGGAGTTGAAGTCCACGAGTCATGAAGGGGCCATAGTTCCCCCATGCTGGCTGAGGAATTCTGGGAGTTGAAGTCCGCAAGTCACGAAGGGGTCATAGTTTCCCTCATGCTGGCTCAGGAATTCTGGGAGTTGAAGTCCACAAGTCATGAAGGGGCCATAGTTCCCCCATGCTGGCTCAGGAATTCCGGGAGTTGAAGTCCACAAGTCATAAAAGAGCCAAGGTTGCCTACCCCTGGGCTAGGGTCTCCTGCTTGAGCAGGGAGTGGGACACTACAACTGTCACAAGTACATGCCAGTTGCCAAGCTTAACGACCATTGCGGCATTCCCACAGTCACTTGATCAAAATTTGGATGCTTGGTGACCGGTTCATATTTACGACGGTTGCAGCGTCCCTGGGGTCACCTGATCCCTTTTGCGCCCTTCTGACAAGTCAGTGAGGAAGTGAGGTTCACTTAACAGCTGTGTAGCTAACTTCAGAACCCCAGTGATTCACTTAACAAGAAAGGTTGTAAAATGGAGTAAAACTCACTTAACAGCTGTCTTGCTTAGCAATGGATATTCCAGGCTCTGCTGTGGTTGCTGTAAGTTGAGGACTCCCTGTATTCTGTTGTTACAGAGTTGTGTAGTTGCTTGAATCTGGAGGCCCGACTTAGTTTCGCGCTTCCTGCTAGCCGACATGAAACTGATCAGGGTTTAATCAGAATATAAGCTTCTTGTTTCGTGGGAACGCTGCCGTTCAGTCTTTACCTATCCTGCTTCATCTGATATATCAGTTGCTTCGGTTTTTTATTTTTATTTTTAATTTTTTATTAATTTTCTAATGTTACACTTGCATATTTGAAAAGCAACCTGGCAGCCGAGTACAACAATTCCATTTCATTTAAATATCATCAACACAAATCTCGAAGTATTACGACCACTAATTCCCTCTCTTTCCCCCTTAATATATACTGTCTCATATTCAAACCAACACAATTCTTATTCTATCAATCAAAGATAACTTTCTAGCATTCATCAATAATCTTCAGTTTGCACATATCTTAATTAATTTAACATTCCATCTTTTAGACAGCCAATGACCTAATTTTTTTTTAATTTATTACTTTTCAATTCATATTTTAAATTTAACACTTAATCTTTTTCATTTCCAAATTTTCAATGACCCCAATTTCTATCACGGTTCCCCCACAGTCTAAAGTTCCAGATACACCCCTGATCTATACAAGATTCTCACCGTCTGCCTCAACCAATTAATAATACGAAGTCATATTCTTATTTTTCTAGTAATTCTCCAGTATCTTAGAATCTCAAATGTAATAGCCAGGATTTCTTTTATTTCTAGACTTAGTATTTAGTATTGTGTGTGTTCGCCATCCTCTCTCTGTTCCAGGATTGCTACCTCATGAAATATGACTATCCTGATCGGATCCCCAATGGCCTCAACCTCACTTTTGCCATTACCTATGAAGCATACGAGGGCAAGTATACCTGCGTGGCGAGTTACTGGGAAAACAGCCGGGATTTTTCTCTGACGCGGACGATGAGAGTCAAGGTGGTAGGTAAGGAGAAGGGTAGGACAGGGGTTTTCAAACCTGGCCATTTTAAGACTTGTGAACTTCAACTCTCAGAATTCCTGGACAGCAGTGCATTCTTTTTTGATGTGTATCCTCAGTCTGGCCTTATTCTCTTGCAATCCCTTCCTCTGCAATCTCTCTCCGTTCTAGCGGATGGGAGGAAAAAAAATCAGGCTAGGGAATTCTGGGAGTTGAAGTCCACCCATCCTCAGGAAGCCCAGACTGGAGACACCTGATCCAGGGGAAAGGCAAGGGGGGGGGGTGAGGTGGAAGTGGAGGTGGGGGTGAGGGAGCCACTGCTTAAGGCTCAGCCTTGCTCCAGTTCAGCCTCAGCTTCTCTCCAGCCCGAGAGTGAGAGGCTGGGGTTCCCATAACATGACCGTTAGAAGCAAATAACTAAATGACAGAGTTGTAAGGGACCTTGGAGGTCATCTAGTCCAACGCCCTGCTCAGGCAGGAAACCCTAGATAGACCATTTCAGACAAAGGGCTGTCCAGTCTCTTCTTAAAATCCTCTGTTGTTGGAGCCTTCACAGTTTCTGGAGGCAGGTTCTTGGTCTCCCACCTTTAATTTTTATCCATTTATTAATTTTTTATGACGCCCTTATAATGAGACTCTGGGCAGTTTTAAATGTCTTTCCTGGCACAATTGTTTGTTTATTCTTATTCTGCCTTTGGGCTGGGCTAGAAAACCTCCAAGGTCCCTTCCAGCCCTAGGATTCTATGATCTCGGGCAGCAGGTTGACCTCCAAGGTCCCTTCCAGTCCTAGTATTCTATGATTTTGGGCAGCTAGTTGACCTCCAAGGTCCCTTCCAGCCCTAGTATTCTATGATTCCATGATCCTGGGCAGCAGGTTTGACTGGAAGACTTTCAAGGTCCCTTCCAGCCCTAGGATTCTATGATCTTGGGCAGCTGGTTGACCTAGGTCCCTTCCAGCCCTGGGATTCTATGATTCCATGATCTTGGGCAGCAGGTTTGACTGGAAAACCTCCAGGGTCCCTTCCAGCCCTAGGATTCTATGATCTTGGGCAGCTAGTTGACCTCCAAGGTCCCTTCCAGCCCTAGTATTCTATGATTCCATGATCCTGGGCAGCAGGTTTGACTGGAAGACTTCCAAGGTCCCTTCCAGCCCTAGGATTCTATGATCTTGGGCAGCTGGTTGACCTAGGTCCCTTCCAGCCCTGGGATTCTATGATTCCATGATCTTGGGCAGCAGGTTTGACTGGAAAACCTCCAGGGTCCCTTCCAGCCCTAGGATTCTATGATCTTGGGCAACTAGTTGACCTCCAAGGTCCCTTCCAGCCCTAGGATTCTATGATTCCATGATCTTGGGCAGCAGGTTTGACTGGAAGACCTCCAAGGTCCCTTCCAGCCTTAGGATTCTATGATCTTGGGCAGCTGCTTGAATTCCTAGGTCCCTTCCAGCCCTAGGATTCTATGATTCCATGATCTTGGGCAGCAGGTTTGACTGGAGGACCTCCAAGGTCCCTTTCAATGGTGTTATTCTGCTATTCATGCTTCAGACAGGACTAGAACTCATGACCCCCCTGCCTTCTCAACTGGTGCTTTAAGTACTAGGAGAAGAAAACTCTTTGCCTCTTATTGGCTGAAGCGGGTGGGGAAACTGGGAACTACCGGTGACCCATAAGCCAGGATCTCGAACTATCACCGATGCTTTGAACCTTGTTGACAGCATGACAACAGCTGTTGTGTTTTCCTGGGTGTGCGATTTGCCTGCTGGCAAGTTGTGTTCTAACGGGTGTCTCCTTTGCTGGCATGGTTTGCAAAGATGCTTTGCTTTGTGTTGCATTGAGGAGAGAGGGGAGGTGTTGGACATCACATCTGGACACAGAAATTAAACTTCCCCTTATCTGGGCAAAGCAGACAGGGTCAGGAACATGGGCCGGGTTATCCTGACGGTTGTAGACCACTTTTTTTGCAGTAACACAATTAATGGTGAGTCACCCGAGGCACACCCAGTAAAACCTCTGGCTTTCCTCTGCTTTCAAATCCCGACTTGATTCAATTTGCGCTACGCCTTTGTTGCCAGCCTCCCTGCCTGCTTCCCCATCCTGGTGCCCTCCAGCTCCCTTCACATCTGGAGTTGTGAAGAGTTGCTTGTGTCTGGGGGTGTCGTGGCAACTTTGCATCCTCGGTTGCTAAGCTGCCCTGCAGAAATATTTAGCATCAGGCAGTTTAAAAAAACTCAGCCCGGATGCGCCGATCCAGCCCCCTTGAATGGATGCTTACAGAACAGGATTTTATATATATATCTATATTATTTTTATAACCAAATGAATTAGAGAGGCATCTGTCGGAGACATTCGCACACCTGTTCCCTGACTTCATCGACATTTTTTCCTTCTCATCTCTTTGGTAACGGTTCTCCCCACTCTTCCTCAAGGCCGTCAACTCCCTTCTCTGCCCGTGGTCGGGTGCCAAGAAACCAATAAAAGAACTGGCAACCTTGGGAAATTTGACGTCTGATGTTCCACTGAGGTCCCTGCTTTGGTTTTTCTGCAAGCCTGTTTCGTAGGCTCCCTGTAGTAGCAAAGATGCACAGCCTGCAGCAACCTCAGGGTCCTTGATATTTGGACAGTTCTTATCCTCTTTGGATTGCAGTTGTGTAGGGTGGCGTGTTGAGAACGTGCTGAGGCAGGAAAGTCTAGTGCAGTGGTTCTCAACCTTTTTAATGCCGCGACCCTCAACCGGTCGTAAGTCGAGGACTAGTCAACCGGCCGTAAGTCGAGGACTACTCAACTGGTGCAGCACCGTTTGCAGAATGGGACTTTTGGCGGGCTCAGCAGGGCAGAGACAGCCTGGACAATTCCTATTGGCTTTTGAAAGTCAATAGAATTAGACTCTATTCAAGAGAGGCTATTCTATTGGCTTTCAAAAGCCAATAGAATAAAAGGGAGTAGCACAGCTAAGGAAAAGGGGGAAAAAAATGGCGGACTGCGTTGTTTGGCGACCCCCATGAAATGGTCGTTTGACCCCAAATGGGGTCCCGACCCACAGGTTGAGAACCACTGGTCTAGTGGTAGGAGAACGTGGCTGGATGTGGTCCTTCAGCTGAGTTGAGCTGTAGGGTTTCTGATCTGCCCACTGACTAGAATTCCTGGAGTTCAGCCTAAAACTATGGATGCCTCCAGGAAACAGTGAACGGAGACACAGAAAGATGTGCATCCCATCTTTTAACTCATCCAGTACCCAGATGTGTTCAACCGCTGGATCTAAAGCAGTGTTTCTCAAGATTGGCTGCTTGAAGATGGGTGGACTTTCACTCTTAAGAATTCCCCTAGTAAGCCCAGCCAGTTTTTTTCCCCCTCCTATTCCCCTAGAGCGGAGAGACTGCAGAGGAAGGGATGACAAGAGAGTAAGCAGACGACAATATTGGAAGCAGGAATTTTTGCCTACTTTGGAGGAATGGTTTTTTAAAGTTTCTTATTTATCTGAAATGGCAAAAATTTCAGCTTATTTGAAAGATCAATCGCAAGAGAATTACCTCTTGGTGTGGAAAAGATGGATAAACTTTATACAGTATAAGTATGATATTAAAAGATATTATTTAGCTTTTGAATAATTCATGTTTAAAGTTTAAAATTTAAGGCAATAAGTATTTTTTTATTATATATATATATTGGACTTTTTTATTATATATATATATTGGATTTTTTAATGTAATTTTTGTTTTAGGTTTACTTAAGTTTAAATGCTTTGTATTTTTAGTTTTTGTTAATTGTGTATTCAGCTCTGGGAAGAGGGGGGGAGGGTTTTTGGGAGGGTTGGGAGGTAGTGGGAGAGGGATATTATTGTAAAATTGTAAAACTTTTAATAAAAAAAAAGAGAGAGTAAGCAGGCCACAATGGGGATACACATCAACAGGAGTGCAAGGAATTATGGGAATTGGTCCACACAGGTTGGCTTGGGGACTCTGGGTGATGAAGTTCACACGTTCTGGCTGAGGGATTCTGACAGTTGAAGTCCACCGACCTTAAGCTGCTAAGGTCGAGAGAAATACTGTCCTAAAGATTAAAATAGAGAAGGCCCCAAAGAAATTGGGGAGATGTGGAGGGTTAGGGTTCCAGACAGATGTTGAGGATGAGAGGCAATGCCGTCTAGGGAAGAGAGAAACAGAGAAATAGTTGGAGGTATGAAAGAGAAGAAATAGCCAAGAGGAGAAGGAGAAGTGGAAGAGATGGTAGCATAGAAGAAGGAATGCAAAGCACCTGGATATCTGACTGGGAAACAACCCAACCCCTAGAGCAGAGAGACTGCAGAGGAAGGGATGACAAGAGAATAAGCAAGCCACAATGAGCTTACACATCAAAAGGAACGCATGAGTGCCAGGGAATTCTGGGAGGTGAAGTCTACCCCTCCTCAAGGTTGAGAAACGCTGACTGAACAGATAGTGGAGGCTACCGAAAAAAATGAATCCCGCACACCTCTTTTGTTGACTTTATTTTTTTTAAAAAAAAAAAAAAACTCTGTTTCTAGGATCACCGGAAAAATCAACGCCCCCCGTGATCACCTCCCCAACCAAGTGGATCGCCTATGACCTCAAGCCAGGTAATGGTCCACCTGTTCATCATATCCAAATTCAATTCAATTTCAGCTCAAGATAGAGCTGGAAGGGACCCTAAAGGTCTTCTAGTCCAACCCCCGGCTCAAGCAGGAGATCTTATACCATTTCCTAGCTCTCCAGGTCAGCCTCTGCCTTATAACGCTGGAGTGCAAGGGGGAGGGGTGGTCTTTCCTAACATCTTAGGATGCCTCTGCAGATTTAGGGGTTCAGTCCTTCCATCAGGATCTTCCGTCCAACTGTTGCCCCCCCAGCAGTTCCTGTTTTTCTTAGGCCCCGGCTGGCGTTGTTACGAGACTCAATCTGGAATCCGTGGTGGCAGAAACGCAGGCCTCTCGCCCCTGCGTTTAGCCTAGCATCATTTTATTTCTTTTATTTACTTTATTAAATGTATAGGCTGACCCTCCCCCCCCCCGACCGATAGGGTGGTGGAGGGGGTCAACCTCTTCTCCAACGCACCTGAAGGCAGGATGAGAAGCAACGGATGGAAACTCATCAAGGAGAGAAGCAACCTAGAACTAAGGAGGAATTTCCTGACCGTTAGAACAGCTGCGGTAATTGGGGATGTCCAGTTTCATGAAGAGAAGGACGAGGGGGGACATGATGGCAGCCTTCCAGTATCTCAGGGGCTGCCCCAAAGAAGAGGGAGTCAAGCTATTCTCCAAAGCCCCTGAAGGCAGGACAAGAAGCAACGGAGGGAAACTCATCAAGGAGAGAAGCAACCCGGAACTAAGGAGGAGAGTGAGGACAACCTGTGGAACTGCTTGCCTCCAGAAATTGTGGGTGCTCCCTCCCTGGAGCCTTTGAAGAAGAGACTGGATAGCCACTTGTCTGAAATGGTGTAGGGTCTCCTGCTTGAGCAGGGGGTTGGACTAGATGACCTCCAAGGGTCCCTTCCAGCTCTATTCTATCTCCAGGAACCTCTGAAGCCGACGGTGCAGCAAACTCCCTCTGTTGGGTGCCTGGGGTGAGAGTGGGACGGGGTCATCCCAACCTCCTTGGAGACCAGGAGGACCACTTTGAGAAGGTGGTTCCGATTCCAGGTGGGCTTTACGAGGGATAAACTTCCTGTTCTTGCTCCTGCTAGGTGAACAACTGCTTCTCCGTTGTGAGGTGATGTTCACGTTCCTGGAGGACTCTCCACAGGAGGTCTGGTGGGTCATTGATGGAAAACCCTCGGATGACGTCACCGACCTCAAGTTCAACGTGACCCAAACGTAAGAGACAAGGACTGGGCGGTTGTCTAAGAGGGGGGAAGGTCTTGACTTTCTCTAGGACAGGGGTAGGCCACCTTGGCTCTTTTATGACTCGTGGACTTCAACACCCAGCATTCCTGAGCCAGCCACGCTGAGGGGAAAGGGAGAGGTTCCCAAGCTGAGCCAGGCTGGCTGAGGAATTCTGGGAGTTGAAGTCCACCAGTCACGAGGGGGGCACAGTTCCCCCATGCTGGCTGAGGAATTCTGGGAGTTGAAGTCCACAAGTCATGAAGGGGCCAAAGTTTGCCTCATGCTGGCTCAGAAATTCTGGGAGTTGAAGTCCACGAATCATGAGGGGCCATAGTTCCCCCACGCTGGCTGAGGAATTCTGGGAGTTGACATCCGCCAGTCATGAAGGGGCCATAGTTCCCCCATGCTGGCTGAGGAATTCTGGGAGTTGAAGTCCTCGAATCATGAAGTGGCCATAGTTCCCCCATGCTGGCTCAGGAATTCTGGGAAAGTTATGAAGAGGCTATAGTTCCCCCACGCTGGCTCAGGAATTCTGGGAGTTGAAGTCCACGAGTCATAAAACAGCCAAGGTTGCCAATCCCTGGACTATGGGGTCACTGCAAGAGTCACTAAGTGTGAAAAACGGTCACGAGTCCCTTTTTTCAGCCCCCTTGTAACGTCGGTCACTAAACGAACTGTGGGAAGTGGGGGTGTGTCTGCACAACTCCGAGACTTCCCACCTGGCGGGTCTGAAGGCTGCACACGTGCGTGTTGCGAACGCTGAAAAACGCAACCCATGTTTTGTCGGTGGGGAGCGCTTCTATTTCACTTTTCCTTTCCTTCCCGGACCCCCTCTAGCGAGTCCCCCTTATCGATCGGGGGCACCAAAATCGAAAAGTATCTGTTTGTGCCCCGCATGACGGAGAAAGATTTGAAACGCAACTTCACCTGCTTCGCCCAGAACAACCGGGGCCTCGTGCACGCCCAGGCGGTCGTGAGGATGAAACGTAAGGAAACCCCCCCCCCCTCAAAGCAGCCCCTGGTTTATCTGGAAGAAGGATTTGGGGGGGGGTATTTTTTTTTTAAAGAACATTTTATTGATTTTCTAGTTTTACATTTGACTATTTGAAAAGCAATGTGGCGGCTGAGTTGGTCGATAATTTGATAACATAACACATTTCTTTAGTACAGATCTCAAACTATGACATTAGATATTTCCTCTCTTTTCCCCGTTGGTATTTACCGACTCATAGTTAAATGAATGGAATTCTTATTTATATCGATTAAATAAAAATAACTTCCTTACACTTCTCAATAATTTTTAGTTTATACTGTACACATCCTGGTTATTTTAACATTCAGTCTTTTTAGACCAGCGGTCGAACAACCATTTCACGGGGGTTGCCAAACAACGCAGTCCACCATTTCCCCCCCCTTTTCCTTAGCTGTGCTACTCCCTTTTATTCTACTGGCTTTCGAAAGCCAATAGAAGAGACTCTCTTGAATAGAGTCTAATTCTATTGGCTTTCAAAAGCCAACAGGAATTGTCCAGGCTGTCTCTGCCCTGCTGAGCCCGCCAAAAGTCCCCTTCTGCAAACGGTGCTGCACCAGTTGAGTAGTCCTCGACTTACGACCGGTTGGGGGTCGCGGCATTAAAAAGGTTGAGAACCACTGTTTTAGACGATCAATGTCCTGCTTCGTTTTTCCCAATTTTTAGTTCCCCATTTAATATTTACATTTAACATTTTAATATTTATAATTTCCAAGTTTTAAATAACTGGGATTTGAGGGGGGGGGGCTTTAACTTTTTCTCATTTGGGAACGTCTGCTCAGCTGCCAGAAAGATGCCGGAAGTGCCTCCTTGCTTTCTCCAGCCTCTTCAGAGAGGAAAAAAGGGGAATAACACAGCTGGAAGGGGCCTTAGAGGTCTTCTAGTCCAACCCTGTGCTCAGGCAGGAGACCCTGTACAGTTTCAGACTCCATTTGGGGTTTAGTTCCTACTCCTTGTTGGCCCCAGACCAGGATCTGGGGAGGGTGGCTTGGAATGAGAAGCAGGAGACAAACTCTGGCAGAAGTTGCGTCAAGGTGAGGAGATGCTCCTGGCTTCTGAACCGGCTTTGGGAATGGAGCCCAAGGGATGGACACCAGGAGGGATTTTGGGTAGAGTTAAATAGGGGTTCCGATGTCCCCACATCTCCCCAGCATTCATGTCCACTTTTCGGTCAAGTGGACATCTTCTCTTTCCTCCAAGGAAACTCTTGTTTTAAAAGTCAGGGTTTAGCTGCTGGGTGCTTCTAGAAATAGGAATCTCGTGTTTCGCCTTTGTTGTGAAAATAATCTCCTCCTCCTCCTCTTCCTCCCTCTTCTCCTCCTCCTCTTCCTCCCTCTTCTCCTCCTCCTCTTCCTCCCTCTTCTCCTCTCCTTCCTCCCCTCTTTCTCCTCCTCCTCTTCCTCCCTCTTCTCTTTCCTCCCCTCTTTCTCCTCCTCCTTTTCCTCCCTCTTCTCCTCTCTTCTCCCCTCTTTCTCCTCCTCTTCCTCCCTCTTCTCTTTCCTCCCCTCTTTCTCCTCCTCCTTTTCCTCCCTCTTCTCCTCTCTTCTCCCCTCTTTCTCCTCCTCTTCCTCCCTCTTCTCCTCTCCTTCCTCCCCTCTTTCTCCTCCTCCTCTTCCTCCCTCTTCTCTTTCCTCCCCTCTTTCTCCTCCTCCTTTTCCTCCCTCTTCTCCTCTCTTCTCCCCTCTTTCTCCTCCTCTTCCTCCCTCTTCTCTTTCCTCCCCTCTTTCTCCTCCTCCTTTTCCTCCCTCTTCTCCTCTCTTCTCCCCTCTTTCTCCTCCTCTTCCTCCCTCTTCTCTTTCCTCCCCTCTTTCTCCTCCTCCTCTTCCTCCCACTTCTCTCCTTCCTTCCCTCTTCCTCCTCCTCCATCTCTCCTCCTCCTCTTCCATCTCTCCTCCTTTTCCCTTCAGCCCCAGTGTTGAGATACACCGTGGAGCTGGCCTGCGGTCTGGGGGCCACCGTGCTGCTGGTGGTCATCCTGACCATCATTTACCACTTCTACTGGCTGGAAATGGTCCTCTTCTACCGGGCTCACTTTGGGACTGACGAAACCATCCTCGGTAAGGGAGCTTCGGCCACCGGCCTTTGCCTCTGGGCCTTCAGGGCTGCCTTTCTCCAGCCCTGACCGTGACCTGGTTCTTCCTCCTGGCGATTGGCCCAAAGTCACCCAGCCGGCTTCCCTGCCTAAGGCGGGACTAGAACTCCCCGTCTCCTGGGGATTGGCCCAAAGTCATCCAGCCGGCTTTTGTGACTAAGGCGGGACTAGAACTCCCCGTCTCCTGGGGATTGGCCCAAAGTCACCCAGACAGCTTTCATGCCTAAGGCGGGACTAGAACTCACCGACTCCTAGTGATTGGCCCAAAGTCATCCAGCCGGCTTTCATGCCTAAGGCGGGACTAGAACTCACCGACTCCTGGTGATTGGCCCAAAGTCACCCAGTCGGCTTTCATGCCTAAGGCGGGACTAGAACTCATCATCGCCTGGTGATTGGCCCAAAGTCACTCAGCCAGGTTTCATGCCAAAGGCGGGACTAGAACTCACCGTCTCCTGGTGATAGGCCCAGCTGGCTTTTATGGCTAAGGTGGGACTTGAACTCGTGTCCTGGGGATTGGCAGAAAGGCAGGGGTCCTGGCATCCTAGGACAGCTCTTTGGTGCCCATGGTATGCAAGAGACTGATTGCCAGAGCCACAGGACAGGGCTCTTCATGGAGACCCCTAGCTGGCCTCTGGTGGGACAGGAGACTTGGATTTGGCCCATCCAGCTGGTCCTCCTCTGACCTGGAGATGGTCAGCTTAACCTCTGCCTTGAATGACCTGTACGGGCTTTAATGTGAAACCTTCCCCCCCTCCAGTCTGGGGCATGCGGGTGAAGAAGGAGAGTGCAAAAATTGGCTTGAAACTCAACATTAAGAAAACCAAAATCATGGTATCCAACCCTCTCAATTCCTGGCAAATAGATGGGGAAGAAATGGAGGTAGTGACAGATTTTATCTCCCTGGGCTCCAAGACCACCACAGATGGGGACTGCAGCCAAGAAATCAAAAGACGCTTGCTCCTGGGGAGGAAAACTATGGCACATCTAGACAGCATTCTAAAAAGCAGAGACATCACCCTGCCAACAAAAGTGTGTATAGTCAAGGCCATGGTTTTCCCAGTTGCAACGTACGGCTGTGGAAGTTGGACCATAAGAAACGCCAAAGAATGGAGGCCTTTCAACTCTGGTGCTGGAGAAGACTCCTGCGAGTCCCCTGGACTGCAAGGCGATCCAACTGGTCAGTCCTAGAGGAGATCAACCCCGACTGCTCTTTAGAAGGCCAGATCCTGAAGTGGAAACTCAAGTCCTTTGGCCACCTAATGAGAAGAAGGAAGGACTCACTGGAGAAGAGCCTGATGCTGGTAAAGATGGAGGGCAAGAGAAGAAGGGAACAACGGAGAAGGAGGTGGCTGGATGGAGTCACTGAAGCAGGAGGTGTGAGCTTCAAAGGGCTCCAGAAGATGGCAGAGGACAGGAAGACCTGGAGGAACCTTGTCCATGGGGTTGCGATGGGTCGGACACGACCTTGCAACTAACAACAATAACAGGATCCTGGTTTAAGGGTCTAGCCTAGCCAGAGCAGAGAACCCCTCTTGCAATAATGTTGACTGAGTTATGAATCCGTGGAGTGGGGACGGCTGCTGGCACAGCTGTCTTCTGTCCAGCTCCTGTATGTTGATTACATTTTAATTGCCACGTTAATTGGGCCTGGCTGCTTCCAAATCTCTGTCTGCTTTAATACTAGACCTTCTTAGCTTTCCCTTCAAGGCAGCGTGTAGAGCAGGGGTAGTCAACCTTGGCTCTTTTATGACTCGTGGACTTCAATTCCCAGAATTCCTGAGCCAGCTTAGCTGGCTCAGGAATTCTGGGAGTTGAAGTCCACGAGTCATAAAAGAGCCAAGGTTGACTACCCCTGGTGTAGAGGTTGCCTTTCCCCTGAACTAGGAACTTCAGCCAGAGAAGTCTCCTGTTTTATTGGCAATATAGGTTTAGTATAACAGACCAGCAGAGCTGGAAGGGACCTTGGAGGTCTTGTAGACCAACCCCTTGCTCAAGAGGAGAACCGTCCTATACCATTCCTGACAAATGACTGTCCGGTTTCTCCTTAAAAACCTTAAAAGCATAAGTCCTCCTGATCCATGCCCACCTGCAATGGAGAAGCCCAGATGACGCACCCACAACTTCTGGAGGCGAGGAGTTCCACTGGTTAATTGTTCTCCCTGTCAGGACGTTTCTCCTTAGTTCCAGCTGGCTTCTCTCCTTGATGAGTCCTTCACTTACGACCGTGGCAGAGCCTGTTCATTACGGCCATAAGTCACGATGGTCGTAAAGCTGGTCCCTCACCTGACCTACCTGATTTTATGGCCTTTTTTGCAGCAGTCGGGTCGTTAAGAACCATTAACCAGCGGAGCAATCTGCCTCAAGAAGTTGTGGGTGCTCCAACACTGGAGATTTTCAAGAAGAGACCGGACAGCCGTTTGTCTGGAATGGTAATAGGGCCTCCTGCCTGAGCAGGGGGTTGGACTAGATGACCTCCAAGGTCCCTTCCAGCTCTGTCATTCTGCAACCCAGGAATGCAGATTTAATGAGAGGACAAGCAAAGACCGAAGGGACCAGAGACAGTGGTTGCCCCTAACTCTTTCAGCTTCTCTCTTCTCTTCTCTTCTCTTCTCTTCTCTTCTCTTCTCTTCCATCTTCTCTTCCCTTCCCTTCCATTCCATCTCTTCTCTTCTCTTCTCTCTTCTCTTTCTCTCTTCTCCTCTCTTTTCTGCCTCTCTTCTGTCTCTTCTCTTCTTTATCTCTGTTCTCTCCCCTATCTCTCTCTTTTCTATTCTCTCTTCTGTCTCATCTCACTTTTCTCTCTCTTCTCTCTCCTTTTTCCTCTCTCTCTCCCTCCCTCTCTCCCTCTCTCTTTTTCTCTTTTCTATCTTTTCTGTCTCCTCTCTTCTCTCTCTTCTCTTCTCCTCTTTTGTCTCCTCTCTCTCTTCTTTCTATCTCCTCTCTCTTTTCTTTTCTGCCTCTCTTTCTTCTGTCTCCTCTCTTTTTTGTTCTCCTCTCTCTTTTTCTCTTCTCTCTCTCTTCTGTGTCATCTCACTTTTCTCTCTCTCTCTCCCTCTCTCTCTCTTTTTCTCTCTTCTCTTTGTCTCATCTCTCTCTTCTTTCTCTCTGTTCTCTCCTCTCTCTCTCTTTTCTTTTCTGCCTCGCTTTCTTCTGTCTCCTCCCTTTTTATCTCTGTTCTTTTCTCTTCTCTCTCTCTTCTGGCTCATCTCACTTTCTCTCTTTCTTCTCTCTCGTCTCTCTCTCTTCTTTCTCTCTTCTCTCTCTCTCCCTTCCTCTCCCTCTCTTTTTCTCTTCTGTCTCATCTCTCATCTCTCTTCTCTTTGTCTCATCTCTCCCTTCTTTCTCTCTGTTCTCTCTCTCTCTTTTCTTTTCTGCCTCACTTTCTTGTGTCTCCTCTTATTTTTTCTCTGGTCTCTCCTCTCTCTCTTTTCTATTCTCTCCCTCTCTTCTGTCTCATCTCTCTTTTTTCTCCTCTCCCTCCCTCCCTCCCTCCACCAGACGGGAAGGAATACGACGTCTACGTCTCCTACGCCAGGAACACGGAAGAAGAGGACTTCGTGCTGCTCACCCTTCGGGGTGTTTTGGAGAATGAGTACGGCTACAAGCTCTGCATTTTCGACCGAGACAGTCTCCCTGGGGGAAGTGAGTATCCCAAACCGCTCCATCCTCTCTCTCTCTCTCTCTCTCTCTGGAGGGGGGGGGAGGCTGGGTTGCCTCCCTCTTCCTCACTCACTCCTGCGCCCCCCATGTGCATGCACAGCTGTGGCTGATGGGGCCAGAGAAGAATCCCAGAGCAAGTCCCTCCAGAGCAGTGGTTCTCAACCTGTGGGGTCGGGACCCCTTTTGGGGTCGAACGACCATTTCATGGGGGTCACCAAACTAGGCTATCTGCCATTTTTTCCCCCTTTTCTTTGGCCACGCCCCTGGCACCCGATGATGTATAAGTGGTTGGGGGTCACCACAACATGAGGAACTGTATTATGGGGTCGCGGCATTAGAAAGGTTGAGAACCACTGCTCCAGAGAGAGAGTTGTGGGCTGTGCAAGGGAATTTGATCGGACCGAACGGTTTTTGAGTTGGCAGATGTTGCCCTTTTTCCAACAGAGGGGCTTTTGATCACTCAGGCTTCCTTCCCCCCCCCCACCCCAAAAAAAACCTCCTGAGGACACAGGGAGTTTTTGCAAAGAAAGCTTAGGCCAAAAGGGAAAAAAGGATGGGGGGCTTCAGGGCCCTGTGCAAACTGTGGCTCTCCTTTTTTGGTGGGGGGAAAATCAGGAACCCAGGAGACCGAGATCTAAACCCTAAAAAAGGGCGTAGCAGTTTTGAAAAAAAAGAAAAATTGACCAAAGGGAACATGGGAATGTTAGTTGATATTTTATCCTGCCTTGCTGTTGATTCTTTTGGGGGCTCCTAAATTATTCCTGGTCAGCTCCAAATGCCCAAAGCTGCCCATTTTTGTTATCCAACCTCAGGAACATTAAGATGGGAGGACGTCAACTCCCTGAATTGCCCCAGCCAACCACGCCGGTATTTATTTTTTTCCCCTCCTACTGCCTAGAGCAGAGAGATTGCAGAGGAAGGGATGACAAAAGAGTAAGCAGGCCACACTGGGGACACACGTCAAAAAGGAATGCATTGGTGCCATAGAATTTGGGGAGTTGAAGTCCACACGTATGGGCTTGGGGATTCTGGGTGATGAAGTTCACACCTGCTGGCTGGGGAATTATGGGTGTTGAAGTTCTCTCAGCTTAAAGTTCCTGAGGTTGAGAAAACACTGACTTAAAGTCTAGCAATTTCATTGGGGAGTGATCTCGCTTTCATTGTCCAGCTTATTTTTTTTTTCAGCTTATGCTGCAAGGTGAACTGTGAGGAAACCCGTTTGGTTCCAGATGTACAGTTTTTCTGAGTTGGGGTGTTGCTCCCTACAGCTTCGAGAATCAGAGGGGTTCCAGGGAATGCACTAAAGTCAGAACTGCCAATCTTTAAGCTCTGGAGAGATCTAAAGACAATGTAGACCAGTGGTTCTCCACCTGTGGGTCGGGACCCCAGTTGGGGTCGAACGACCATTTCACGGGGGTCACCAAACAACGCAGTCCGCCATTTTTTCCCCCTTTTCCTTAGCTGGGCTACTCCCTTTTATTCTATTGGCTTTTGAAAGCCAATAGAAGAGACTCTCTTGAATAGAGTCTAATTCTATTGGCTTTCAAAAGCCCATAGGAATTGTCCAGGCTGTCTCTGCCCTGCTGAGCCCGCCAAAAGTTCCAGTCTGCAAACGGTGCTGCACCAGTTGAGTAGTCCTCGACTTACGACCGGTGGAGTAGTCCTCGACTTACGACCGGTTGGGGGTCGCGGCATTAAAAAGGTTGAGAACCACTGATGTAGATTAAGAGCAATGTGGGGATTCTTGAAAAGCTTCCCCAAGCTGAAGTCCATTGGGACACCGACTCCAATCAGCAGAGACCAACAGCAGAGACCAACCAGCAGTTAGACTGGACATACCAAGGTTAGCACCCATCACATCTGGACAGGAGATCATTTGGGGACAGGGGAGAACCCCAGTAGCCTGGTTCTCCTGCCAATATTTTACATTTCTGTCGATATTCCTTATATTTTTTAGCATGTTATGCAGCTTTGATCCCCTTTAAAAGCAAGTCTATATCACAGGGACCCCCCCCCCAAAACCAGGACGCCAACTACATAATTGAAGCAATCCTTTTAACATGGGCACCCTTTTGAGTTCATAACAGAGTTATTGAGAGAAAATTGTAGGGGGCAAAGAAGTCAGCACGGAGAGGAGACTAGCTTGAGGGAAGGAGATGGGAACACAGCCATCTTTTGCCCCATGGATCTGGTGGTGGGTCTGAAGGAAGCTGGTTATGGAAGGGAGAACCTAAACTGGGACGTCAGTAGGTCTGTGATGTTGGTCTTTCTCTCAACCTCTCTTGAAGAGGGTTGAAACTTTGGCGCAGGCTCTGGTCATCTGGGCAGGCAGAGTCAAGGTCATCCTGGGCCATGCCCACCTACAGTGAAGATAGCTGAAGACCACGGATGGAGCAACCAGAACTTCCATCCCACTGGTGAATTGTTCTCCTTGCCAGGACATTTTTCCCGAGTCCTACATGGTTCCTCTCCTTAATTAGTAATAACGACTGTGACTATTGAGTTGAGTTGACCCAACATGACAAAAACAATCTTGGCTTTTTCTGTTGGACCTCTTTGGTCCAAGCTGGGAGGGAAACGTGAACACAAGACGGTTGCACGGTTGACAAGAGCAGGTGCCAGATATGAAAAGGGTGAGGGGGATGTTGCTGGTGTCCACAGGAACAGAGGTCTTCTTCAGGGAGGGTCCTCTCCTTCTCTTGAAGGCCAGGAGCTTCAGAAGGTAACGTTTGAGATAGGAGCTGCGTGGCCTCGGCTGAGTCCTTGAACTTTCTGGCTCAAAGCCGTGGGGAAGTTCTCGCCCGCCGGTCGCTAACGTGCCTGTTTTCTCTCTCAGTTGTCACGGATGAAACCCTGAGCTTCATCCAGAGAAGCCGGCGCCTGTTGGTTGTGTTCAGCCCCAACTACGTCCTGCGGGGCACCCAGGCCTTGCTGGAGTTTAAGGCCGGCCTGGAGAACATGGCTTCTCAGGGCACCATCAAGGTGATCCTGGTCCAGTACAAGCCCGTCAAGAAGAGCCAGGTGAAGGAGCTCCGCCGAGCCAAGACGGTGCTGACCGTCATTAAGTGGAAAGGGGAGAAGTCCCGATACCCATCGGGGAGGTTTTGGAAGGAGCTGCTGGTCAAACTGCCGGTGAAGAGCAGAACCAAGAACCTTTGGGGTCAACAAGAGCTCATCGGCCTTTCGCCCAAAGGCGTCTAAGGAAGGGAGAGGCCAGGAACCCAAAGCTGGGCTGGAAAGAGGAGAGGAGTGGGCTAGCTCTGGGGTCTCTGGCAATCCGTGCTCCCCCCTCCGGCAGGGCTCCTGCTGTTTGAAGATGCCCCATCTGCAGAGTTGCCCGTCACGCCTCCTGCAAATTGCATCAACCCGGCTTGCCGGAGGGCCGAGGCAAGGTGCACGGCCGGGGTCCCTGGCGCAGTGAGTGCAAGGATGCACCTCGTGTCGCTTGTCCCCCTTTCCCACTGCCACACACCCGTGAGGTGTCCCCCGTGTTCTTCGTCCAGAGACAGGAGAACAGAAGTCCTCCTGGGGCTTCAAAGGTGCTTTTTTTGGGAGATTCTTGTTTTTCTTTGAAGGCCTTTCGCTTCCCATCCCAGAAGCTTCTTCAGCTCTGACTGGATGGTGGGGAAATGGGAGGATTTATACTCCTTGCAGACGGCTAGTCCTTTGCCTCCTTTTACAGCAGGGGTCCTCAACGTTGGCTGGCTGAGGAATTCTGGGAGTTGAAGTGCACAAGTCTTAAAGTCGCCAACGTTGAGGACCCCTGTTTTAGAGAGTCGTTGAGGCTATTTAGAGCAGTGGTTCTCAACCTGTGGGTCGGGACCCCATCTGGGGTCGAACGACTATTTCACGGGGGTCGCCAAACAACACAGTCCGCCATTTTTTCCCCCTTTTCCTTAGCTGTGCTCCTCCCTTTTATTCTATTGGCTTTTGAAAGCCAATAGAATAGACTCTCTTGAATAGAGTCTAATTCTATTGGCTTTCAAAAGCCGATAGGAATTGTCCAGGCTGTCTCTGCCCTGCTGAGCCCGCCAAAAGTCCCATTCTGCAAACGGTGCTGCACCAGTTGAGTAGTCCTCGACTTACGACCGGTTGAGTAGTCCTCGACTTATGACCGGTTTGGGGTCGCGGCATTAAAAAGGTTGAGAACCACTGATTTAGAGGTTTACCTGTGTCCTCGGGGGTCACCTGAGTGCTGCAAATGGGTGTGGAACCTTTGTGACTGCAGGATGTTTTCTGCCCTGGGTCCCTTCCCAGCTGAAGACGGGAGCAGGCTGTGCAGGATGAGTACCTGCTGTCTGCATCTCCAACTGAAGTCCAGAGGGGTCCTGAAGACTGCAATGTTTTCTGGAAATCCGTTCATCCTCCCGCACTATCCAAAAGGGCTTCATCCCAAAGGGCGCAGCTAAATGTCCATGGCGATGCTCCGTCCTCCAGGTCCTGGTTGTTGTCCCAAAGGTGCTTTTTCATGAGGCAACTGGACTTTCTTGTTTTTTTTTTCCTTTGGAAACATTTCGTTTCCTCCTGGGGCCTTTTCACCTCGGTCCAAATTGGTCAGTGTAGAATTTGAGCCCGGCCTTCCTCCACCTGGGCTAGGGGTAGGCAACCTTGGCTCTTTTATGACTGCTGGACTTCAGCTCCCAGGATTCCTCAGCCAGCATGGGGGAACTGTGGCCCCCTTCATGACTCACGGACTTCAACTCCCAGAATTCCTCAGCCTGTGTAGGGGAACTATGGCCCCTTTATGATTTGTGGACTTCAACTCCCAGAATTCCTGAGCCAGCATGGGGGAACTATGGCCCCTTCATGACTCACGGACTTCAACTCCCAGAATTCCTCAGCCAGTGTGGGGGAACTATGGCCCCTTTATGATTTGTGGACTTCAACTCCCAGAATTCCTGAGCCAGCATGGGGGAACTATGGCCCCTTCATGACTTGCGGACTTCAACTCCCAGAATTCCTGAGCCAGCATGGGGGAACTGTGGCCCTTCATGACTGGTGGACTTCAACTCCCAGAATTCCTCAGCCAGTGTGGAGAAACTATGGCCCCTTCATGACTTCTGGACTTCAACTCCCAGAATCCCTCAGCCAGCCTGGCTCAGCTTGGAAACCTCTCCCTTTCCCTTCAGCATGGCTGGCTCAGGAATTCTGGGATTTGAAGTCCATGGGTCATAAAAGAGCCAAGGTTGCCTACCCCTGACCTGGGCCATTCCAGAGGTGCTGTATTTCTGTTCCCACAACCCTCAGCCATTGCAGACTTTGCGGTTCAGGCATCTGCAGGGCTCCGGGCTGGGGACAGGAAACCCCTGCTGGCTTTGGGCCTCGTTCGCTGAGAAACTCAAGATGGCAATTTGTGCTCTGGGTGTGCGCTGCGACAGCTCTTGCGCAGAGTCCAGGGAAGTGTGGGGCAGCCCTGTTGCTGTCTGAACCAGCCTGCTGAGGAAGGAGAGACTTGGGGGGTTTCTGACCCCCATAGTCCCATAGCTCCTGTAGGTAACCGCTGTGATGAGAAGGACATTTTACTACTCAAGAGCTGTGAATCTTGAAAGATTCCCAAGGAAGAAGCAGGCCGTTGTAAGTCAAGCAGTCGGAATACAGTAGTATTAGTAGAGTGTTAGTAGTAAGTAGGGAGGAAGAGGAGGAGGAGGATTGAGGGATCCTTAGTGCTCTCTGAGGTTGGTGGTTTTCTTGCAGACGTTTCATTACCCAACTAGGTGGCATCACCAGTGCTAGGAGGGAGTGGGATTTGCAAAAGGAGGAGGAGGAGGAGGAGGAGGAGGAGGAGGAGGAGGAGGAGAACTGTGGGGTCCTTGGTGCTCTCTGAGCTGGGTGGTTTCCTTACAGACATTTCATTACCCAACTAGGTAACATCATCAGTGCTAGAAGGAGTGGGGTTTGCAGGGAGGAGGAGGAGGAAGGGGAGTAGAATCGTCTAAGATCTTCCTCCTTTTCCTCAAGATGGAGACATCAGGTTAAGGACATTTCACCAGCTACGGAGTGCAATAGTGCACAAAATGGATCCCTCCCAGACCATTTTGAATTGCTTCGTTTAATGCTCAAGGTCCTTTTAAGGACGGAGCAGGTGCTCTCTTCCTTTGGAAACTAAAGCCGCTCTTTCGCTCCCCAAAGTTTTCCAAAACGGCCCGAGCAGCCAGCCAAAGGTCCTTGGGCCTTGGGGGAACCACTGTCGGTTCGACTTCTGAATTGGCGCACTCGTTTTTCAGGGCTCGGCCAACGTAGGAAGGGCCAGTCCTGCTCGCCAGCCTGGGGGCTGAGCTTCTGGCACGGTTGCAGCCAAGCGTGATCAGGATGCAGTGCTGGCACCCGGGAGAGGCGGGCGAAGATTTATCGGTAGCAGAGCAAGGAGGCTGGGGGCGAATCCCACCGCAGAATGTCAAAAAGCTGTTTTTGGTCTCTGTACTAGAGCATTAGTGGGTTAGCTATGGGATGGTGGCAGATCTGGAGACTCTGGTGTGCAAGTGTGTGTGTGTGTGTGTGTGTGTGTGTGTGTGTGAGAGAGAGAGAGAGAGAGAGAGAGAGAGAGAGAGAGAGAGCTCACAAACCAAAGGGCTTTAGTTCACTGGGATTCCCTATCAACTGAAGCCTGCTCCTCTTGCCAGCCCCAAAGATTGTTGGGGTGTGGGGTTAGAGGTGGAAGCCGTTCAGGAGATCTTGTGGATTCCATTCAGAGGTGTAAATCAATGAGGATCAACCGGCTCTAGGGCCATCTGACTCATCCAAAACCATGGTGTCTCTCCGAGGTTGCTGATTTTCTTGCAGACGTTTCATGACCCAACTAGGGAACATCATCAATGATAGAAGGGAGAGCAGGTTTGTGGAGAGGAGGAAGAGGAGGAGGACTGTGGGGTCCCTGGTGGTCTCACACATTGGTGATTTTCGTGCAGACATTTAATAATAATAAAGTTGGAAGGGACCTTGGAAGTCATCTAGTCCAACCCCCTGCTCAGGCAGGAAACCCTATATCATTTCAGACAAAGGGCTGTCCAGTCTCTTTCATGACCCAACTAGGGAACATCATCAGTGCTAGAAGGGAGGGGGGGTTTCTCCCTATTTATGCACAGTATTCTGCCCTGCCAGTGTGGGTGGGGGCTTAGTTTCCTCTTGGTAGTTCCTCGGTTAGCTATTGTTTTCTGCTTGATTGTTCCTCTGGTGCTATTCCCTGCCTGTTCCTTGAAGGTGTTCCCTAGTTGGGTCACGAGACGTCAGCAAAAAAAAAAAAAAAAGCTCAGGGAATGCCACCACCCTTCTCCTCCTCCCTGTTTACACACAGCTTTTAATTATGATTAATTCTTAATGATGAACCTGGGGAGGGAAATTTCTTGTCCTCCTGAATCCTCCCCGTTTGGATGTGAACTTTTATCATCATACCTTATTTATTCTGCTTTTTTTATTTGGTGCGCAAATTGGCACACGAAGGCCTGTTTGCACATTTTTCCCAGTTAATGGCGAAAGGTATGTTGGAATGACGGGTGTGCAAATGTGTGGACAGGCAGGCCTTCCAGTGGCTAAGGCCGGGCTGTCCAGCTGCCCAAAGGTCGGATCAACTTTGCAAAGATAGACCACTTTTCAATCCCAGACTGCATTCATATAACCATCCTAATCCAGCTGTTAAATTCACCCATTTCTCTGGCTTAGTCTGATATAATAAATTATCCCGTTGAAGCAAAAGCTGATCAGATGGACTGGGTTTGATTAAGAGGCTAACACCTCATATATGAGGGGAGGTCAGCAAGGTGTGGTTCCCCCAAAGATAAAATGCATCTACCTTTTACCTTTTATCAAAACCTTCAGTGTCATGAATTATTCTGGCTTCCTTCGATGTAACTCTAACATTTTGCTTTTATATATTGTTGTTAATATTTTAAGTTTTTATTGTACAAGGCCCAGAGTCCCACTTTGAGGAAGCTGGGCTTTTCAGAAATGAGAGGATAGATAGATAGATAGATAGATAGATAGATAGATAGATAGATAGATGGATGGATGGATGGATGGATGGATGGATGGATGGATGGATGGATGGATGGATGGATGGAGAGATTGTGATAGATCTAGATAGACGATAGTTAGATGAGAAGGATGGATGGATAGATAGATAGCTGGATGGATGGATGAAGAGAAGGAGAGATTGTGATAGGTCTAGTTAGACGATAGATGATAGAAGATGGATGGGATGGATGAATAGAGAGAGATTGTGATAGATCTAGATAAACGATAGGTAGATGATAGAAGATAGATGATGGATGGATGGATGGATGAATAGAGAGAGATTGTGATAGATCTAGATAGAAAATAGGTTGATGACAGAAGATGGATGGATAGATAGATAGATGATAGAGATTATGATAGATCTAGATAGACGATAGATAGGTAATGATAGAGAGAGAGAGAGAGAGAGAGAGATTGTGATAGATCTAGATAGATGATAGGTAGGTGGAAACACAATGCACATATATCTTGCACATAAAGTACACATGGTCCTTGACTTATGACCACAACTGAGCCCAAATTTCTGTTGCTAAGCAAGACAGGTGTTAAGTGGCTGAGGGATTCTGGGAGTTGAAGTCCACGAGTCATAAAAGAGCCAAGGTTGCCTAGCCCCGGTCTGTGGGGAAACCGGATCCACTCAGTGACCATGTGA